TACTTTCCACTCGGCTATCGATAAACCCCGGTCGAAAAGTTCGAATTTTTATTCTGGTTTTTATATGTGCGACAATAATGGGCCCCCCCCCCCCCAATAGGCACGTAAATCCAATTGCGGTCGATTCGATGCGGCCGATGCGAGCCCGTTCTTGTCCGCGGATACCGATAAACAAATCCACGCCTAGGCTGCGAGGTTTGCACAAATAGTATGGTGTGACGCGTACTTTATGGTTGTGTAGAACATGCCCTCGGTACGTTGTAACGTACTTGTTCCGCGCGCTTGTTACCGGTAACTAATGTTCTTCCCGCCCATTCGATAGCGCCGATCCGGCCGATTGGCAGGGGAAGATCGGTGGACCAGAAAGAGATCGAGCGATTGAGCAAATTACGACACGTAGAAATTGCGAGCACCAGCACGGGAGTTAGAAACGATCAGTATATACTATCGCGGCATCGATTCAGACGAAATGAACGAAGCACGAGGATCAAATTTTCTCGTTTTGCAATCGGCAATTGGACGAACGTGCGATCACCGGCCGATCAAACGGACTATCCGAAAAACATGCTATAAACACATCAGGTTCTTTTTATCTGCATCCAGAAATTCCTTTTACACGCGATAATATATTTTCGTATCATGGCATCAAAATATAAAAATATTAGTCTAAGAATTTCGACGATAATAATAATCAATACGATGATAAGTCATGAGAATTTTTCTCATCACGCTTAATTTTCATTTTTTGGAGTAGCTTTCTTGTTATATTGTTCCATTCTTGTATTAATTATAACTATGTGAAGATGTACAACTTTCGTACACGTCAATGTTACAATTTAATTTTATTAGGAATACAGGCACACGGAACTTTATTAAGGGATACAAGTGATTAATCGATCGCGAGAATTACCTGATAACATCGATATTATGAGGTAAGTTAGGAAACAAGAATTCGAACGCTTCCTTAGATCATCCTAAACTAAGAACAACCAATCTCTTGCGTTTAACTTTTCAATGGATTTTGTAGCTTGTATATAAGCTTGTATAACGCTCATTTGTGAAAATATAAAATAACTTTTACGCGCGCTGGAAATGCGTATGGAAAAAAAATGGGAAACCTAAAGTAGGAACGTAAAAATATCATATTTCGCGTTTCTCAGTGACTGCTCCTTTATCGCTATCCTGCCATACGCGAGGTCATCGATTTTGGCAATACGACGTTCCACAATCGCAACTTCAGCCAATGTTTGCTCAATAAACCTCGCAAAAGCCAACGAACCAACTGGCCGTTTGGCCCTCGTTGGCATGTGAGGGTTATTAATGCAGGTTGCAGCAGCGCAATTTAAAGATAGATTGAGACGAGAAATTAGATTGCATTCTTAAATTATCAGGGAACAAATATGGAAAAGCTAGAATGATAGATAAAATATTGTTTTAAAATCGCACATGAAACTTAAAATCTCTCAGCGCTCTAAAATCGAACTTTATCTCATTAACATTGTAGCTCATTTCCCACTAATTTATTCATATCAGGAATTATGTTCTCGTATCGCAATAAGTTAATGAAGGTGAGGAAGGGGGGAGGGGAAATAGAGAGAGGGGTGTCGGATCGATAGATAGAGTTTAAAGGCATATCGGATCCGGGTAAAAGTTACGTCGAGTCACAACGACTTGTTTGTCCGTGATGCTTTGATGTCGAATGACAACAATCAAGTAATTGCGGCCATACAACGACCACACTATGACAAAGGCAACAGTTGCGTGTCGTGGTTCGACAACACGGCCGTGTTCGTGGTACGTAATCACACTTGTGCCAACGAGAGCGTAACAGACCCGCGCGCGGATTTCTATTAAAGAAAAAAAAAAAAGCTGGAAGAATATCGTTCCGAGGGAAAATTTCGTCTCAGCTGTGCTTAGGTTCCCGCGTATTGCCCGAGAAATAGTGAGATACTACAATTTGATCGCATTTAAATGTATTGATACGACTTTACTTTCCGTCGTCGGTACGACGCTCATGAGAATTTATGGCGGCACTTCCCTTCAGGAACTTTTACAATGATCGTTCCTAACGCGACTTTGACGATACGTTACATATACGATAACGTGCAACAGTGGAAGCAACAAAATGCAGAACGCATGTACTCCGCGCGCTATCGGAATGGCCTACCGCTGGGCGCATTGCAAAAGCGGTCTTTTCTCCATTTGGCTGCCGATCATCGCGCGTTCCGAATGCACAAACTGCGCTTCTAGCTCGACAAATGCCTGTTACCGCTGTTATACCATAAAGGCCTCCTAACGACAGTTTGATAGAACAAAGTAAAATTTTTATATCCCGCTCGCCAATAACATTTGCCAGTATTTTTCAATTTTGTTAAGATATACGCTACGCATACGGAACGTAACGAAATGATAATGTAATCCGTATTGAAAATTCTCTCTTTCTCTCTTTTTCTCTCGGACTTTCTGCAGGAATGACTAATTCGCTCAGCCATTCGGACTTAGCAAGCCCACGGATCTAAGCTCAATATATTGCGGACATTCATATCGACATATCACATCTATATATACTCGCATTTACGCAGTGAATAGTTACGGAAAAGAAGAAGAGTAGTAGAAAAAGAAAAAAAGTAATCGAAGTTACTAAAATTTATTTAGGTTGAAAAATTATAAAAACTTAAAAAAGAAGAGCGCTCTTGCTAAAGATGTCCCGTTAATGGAAATTTACGGGCCTCGTGTCCTGACGCGTGTTGTCAATTTAGAGCGCAGTTTATTACGTGTACAAAGGGTAAATGGTGGCCTAAGCTCCTCGGGTGGAGAAGGTAGCTTAAATTCATTAAACGCGCCATTGGACCGGCTGCAGCTCGGCAAGAAGCCTCCACAATCAACCGCTTCTCTCTGATACCAAAGTAGAAATTGTCAATTCACAATTCCATTGATGCGTTCACGTGCGCACCCGCCGGCGTCCCTTCAGTACCGATGTGTTAACGACCGCGATAACAATTACCATTTCGATTATCTCCCTCGCGTTATCTCCCAATGATGTAGACCAACGATCCGCTTTGCGGTCCTACTTTGAAAGAAACTAGAATCCATAAAAAGCCACCCTCCCGTCGACTCTTTCGCCGCCGCCGCCGCCGCCGCTCGTTCGTTCGTTTCTTTAACTAGGCGGAAATTACTTAACCGCGTCTTCCAGAAAATTTCACATAACTCGGAAACTCACACCGAAAATTCGATTTCGCCGGTTCTCCTTTTGAGGCCACGCGCCTTGTTATTATGCACCTGCATCCCTAATACGCGGTCTCACCCTATGCACAATGCGTCAGCCACGAGTAAACTGCAAACCGGAACACGTGGATGCGTGCATCCATGTACTCGCTCGCGTACGTACATATACGTATATATACGATACGTCCGCACATATGCACGTATGTGATACGTACATTTACGTGTTTGCGTTCACG